TTACTAGGATTTTATTGCACTGACACAACATGTTGCCACCAGTAAAACGTTATTGAGAAAAAGGTAAAAGTGTTACTGTCAGCTGGTTAAAACTGTTTCCCAACCTGTCCTCAGGGTTAGGGGGGATGCCCAGGTCTCCTGTGCGCAGTTTACGAGTCAGGTCTTCTATCTGCAGTTGCACTGGAAGAAACCAGGTTAGGAAAGAAAAAAAAGGATGGAAAAAAGACAATGTTACCAAAAAACATCTCAAATCTCAACAACAAGCATGAAGAACTCGGAGACTTTGAAAGGGACGACTGATCAGTGAACACATTGAGGCAAAAACTCCCAACCATCTATCGGCAGGAGTCCATTTACATCTATAGGTATTTTTCACTTCAAAATGGTTATCACATAAGGAAGCAAACAGTTTGTTTGAAGAGGGGTTAGCAGTATAGACTGTTCACTATGGCTAATATCAAAGCATTTACCAGGTGTTTCACCTCTCCTCCTACCAAGGCTTTAACAATTGGCACCCAGAACCAAACCATGTATGTTATCACCAATACCCTGTTCCCACCAAATTACTTTGAGGGCAAGACTCTTGAGAGCTAATTTTTTCTCATAATATTAAGCATAGCCCCAAATGAGACCCAATTAACGTGGGACAAGGAAAAATACCAGTTGAGCAAATATTATTTTCATTGATACAAGGTTAAAAATTCCTTAAAGAAGACAGTTAATAACCAATTCAACACTTCACAGTTCATACATACTTTCTGTACACCAAATCCGTACTAGTAGGAATCTCCCAATACCTTCTGCTTTTATTCAAATTTTAGATGACAATCCATATACCTTAACAAACCAGTTATGGTAAGAAGTCTGTTTTTAGACTTGCTCCTTATGTGGGAGTAAAAGTAGGGGTATAGAGGATTGAAAGTGTGGGTCAAGGAGAATGGTGTGACCCTCTGACCTTGACAAATGAGGCTGTACATGAAAAAGAGAAACGAGGGTTTTTCACAAAAATTCAGAGACTCCAGGGAAATGCTACCCGGCTGATTTTACTCAAAATAACAGGACCTGAAGAGCCAGATCACTTTCTTCAGCATGCTGAATCACCACTTATTTCTTACCTCTGTAGCATCTGAGAGTTTTGAACAGCTTAAGAGCAAGCCTTATTGGCTGGGTTAAAGTTGAAATAGCTCCAGGACAGGATTAATGTAGGTCTACCCCAAGATACCCGTCTAAATTTAAATACACCCCAGAGCCCTAGCCGGCTTGCCTCCGTGGGTCAAGCATCTGCCTGCAGACTGAGGGGTCCCGGGTTCGATTCTGATCAAGGGCACGTACCTTGGTTGCAGGCTCAATCCCCAGCCCATCAAAACACGTGTGGGAGGCAAACCAATCAATGTCTCTCTCACATCAATGTCTCTCCTCCTCCCTTCCACTCTCTCAAAAAATAATCAATGGGAAAATATCCTCGGATGAGGATTACCAAACAAACAAACAAATAAATAAATAAATACACCCCACAGGAGCTGTATCACACACCCATTAAAACTCTGAAGATGCCCTGACCGGTTTGGCTCAGTGGATAGAGCGTTGGCCTGCGGACTCAAGGGTCCCAGGTTCGATTCCAGTCAAGGGCAAGTACCCGGTGGGGAGTGTGCAAGAGGCAGCTGATCGATGTTTCTCTCTCATCGATGTTCCTAACTCTCTATCCCTCTCCCTTCCTCTCTGTAAAAAATCAATAAAATATTAAAAAAACTCTGAAGAAAGTAAAATCTACATTATTAAAAAAACATTGGGGCATTCTGTACAAGGCAGTGTGTACTGTGAGACAAAAGTAAAGACAATGGCTCCTAAGCTTTTTTCCCCTTCTTCTCCCCCTAAGCTCTTTTATGCCAGAAAAGTTCTGACTTGGCAGTTAAGTTCTAAGAACTAAAAGTGAAAGCCACCTTCTTATGGGTGTGTGTGTGACAATTCTCTTAACTGGTCTGCAGGGATAGTGGGGTCTAATGTGAGGAAATAGCTGGCACTTAAATCAAGGTTGCTATACTCCTTGGAGTGGAAATCTACATTCGCCCAGGCTTTGAGTCTAGCTATAAATTAGCTATAAATAGCCCCTAGGGCTCAGTGCATTAACTCCTTCCACAGGAAGAGAACTGGAGATGTAAAGAATGAGTTTGTTTTCCCATTTTCTAAGTCAGCTTGTTATTCTTGGGATATTGCTCCACAAAGGACATTTTCACAAGGCTGTGAAGATTCAGATCTGTCTAACAAGAGAGAGACATAAGAGACTGGGCCGGAGTAGATAGGAACAGTGAGGGAAGGAAAATATTGTGAATATTAGACAATTTCAACACCTTAAAATTCTCAGCAGTCTAAAAAATGTAAGACACTATGATCCTCAAGAATAACAAGCCAGCCTTGAAGCTTTTTATTTGTGAAGGCCATAGCCTCATAGGTGTAGGAAACCATTGCCCTAATTTACTCCAGAGGGGGTGTTTATTTGGTTAGTAGGAAATGTTTATCAAGTGAACTTTTTTGAGACAGCAGCAGAGGTACACAAATAAAGGTCAAATTGCATTAAAAACCTTGTATTTTAAAAAAGGTAATTTTGAGGTTAATTTCATTTCCAATGTGGATAGTCATTCTTAATTCTTAAAAGTTCCCAATAGGTAAGATTCCATATCCAAGTAGTATCCCTTTCCCAGCAGAGTTCTTTAGTGGTAAATACAAGAGCCCTCATTTTAAGACAGCTCTCCAAAGACCAAACCAGGAAAATAATTGCTGAAGGAAAGGTTAAACTCAACAAAATGATAAAATGGGGGTGAACTGTAAACACTTTCAGAACAACTTTTTGATTAAACTGAGTATTTTTCCTTTCAGAAAGTACCTATAAAAAGTAAAAGACCATTTTTTAAGGGAAGGGAGAAATGTAAAATTATGGTGAAAGGCCATGCTGTGAAAAAGGTACTTGGTTTACAATACCTGCAGTGTTTTCCACTGGGGCCGTGTCCACAGAGGCATAAGACACTCACCTCACCAACTGGCAATAACAGCAGCTGAAGGTGTGGGGTCCTAAACTGGGGGCTACTCTTAACTCCTCAGTGGGCCCCTCTACTTTCCTGGTACTCACGGAGAACACTGCTGTTACCAACAGACCATAACAAGGAGCTGCAAATGCAGGACCCACACAGCAAAAACTGAAGAATTATTTCAAAGTCATGAAAGTACACCTGGCCATACATTATCTCAAAATAGAAAAATTTAAAGTCTCAAAACTAAACGAATAAAGTGTCGCTCAGAATATTAACAATCTGAAAATGCATTTGGGTGCAGAACGTGTATTTACCTATATAAGCTCTCTCTTGTTCCCGAGTGAGTCCAGGGGGGATAACTGTAGGCATTCCTGGAATCACCGTTTTCTGTTCCATTGTGTCTTGATTCCAGCGGCTCCTCTTCCGCTTCTTACTTGGGAAGTCTAAAGGAAATAAAGTTCGTAAGATGCAAACACAACCACCACAATAACTACCAAGAGGCAGTTCAGGATACTTAGGACATTACATGTAGCTCAGCAGACTATGAAACTGAGAACTTGACCTAAAACGTAAATAGCAAAGATTGGAAGCCAAACCTGAGAAATCAGAGACAGGTGGACCTGAGTCCAAAAAGTTAACATTTCAGAGAAACTGTGATGTGAACAGGTAACAAATCCTTTTTTAAAAGAATAGTCTGATTTTTAGAGAGGGAGAGAAACAGCACTGTGAGTGAAACATGGGATCAGCTGCCTCCTGCAAGCCCCCCACCAGGGATCAAGCCCGAAAATCCGGGCATGTGCCCTGATGGGAAATGGAGCTGGCAAACTTGTGCGTTGGACAATGCCCAACCGAGCCACACCGACCAGGGCAACAAGGTAACAAATCTTAATGGGTAAAGTTTCAGTTAGGGAAATAAAGTGCTGAGAAGATATATATTAATATATACTACATCATCCTTGAATAACCAAACAAGTTTGCAACCTGCTGGCTGCTCCCATCACCACCTTCCCAACCTTTCTAACTAGGCCAGATCTCCATAAATCTATAGCAAGTTTCTTCAAGACTACTTTTTTTTTAATGTTTTCTTTATTTATTGTCTAAAATTTTACATATGTCTCCTTTTTCCTTCTTTTCTCCACCCCCCAAGACAACTTTTTTCTTCGAAAGTTTGGTTGACATCAACAATTTTCCTGGCCATTTGTACAGTGTCTGACACCTGAAGTTCAAAAACATCCCTGGCCAGAGTGGCTCAGTGGTTGGAAGTCACCCATGCAGAGGTTCAATCCCCAGCCCAGGTCATAGGGGAGGCAAACCGACCAATGTTTCTTTCAGCAATGTTTCTCTCTCTCTCTCTCTCCCTTCCTCTCTGAAAAAAAGTAAGTTTAAAGAAGAACAAACTATAATAGCAAAACCCTTCTTCCCTGATATATGAGCATAAATTCCCTACACATTTGGTACATACAAGTCATCCTACTTCCCAGGGGGCCCAGGCCCCGGGTGAAGCCCCAACTAGAAAACAGAATTCCCCCACCCGCCAAAGAGCCACAGAAATGAGCCAGCAACGTCCTGAAGACTTCCCACTCCTTCCTTCTCCGCAGTGAAGACCCTGCCGCCTTACAGTCGAAATAGCTCTTCTGGGTACTTTTCTCCCTCTGGCTCCTCTACAACCAGGAAGGGGTTCCACGTCATGACTTCACTCTTTCACACCCTCGGGACATGCACTCCCAGGACCCAATCCACCCACTCGACCCCCTCCACACCGCTCCCCTCCACCTGGGGCTGGAGAGCAACTGGGGACCCCCGCCCCCAGCTTTCTTTCCGGCCCTACAGCCTGGCAGCGCACTGCGCCTGCGCAGAGCAAACCTCCCGCTCAGCCGCCCCCCCCCCCACGCCTTTTCCCCAGCGCGCGTGCGCACTCAGGGTACAAGAAACAGGCCGCGCGCCCCGTGGCGCCTCCGCCTGGGTCTCCCCGTGTGCGCGCGCGCGCGCCCCTGCCGCGTGCAGCCGTCGCCGTCGCCGCCGCCGCGCGCCCCTCAGCTGGCCGGGCCCGTTCTCGCGACGCCTTTCGCACTCTCTCGGCCCGACTCACCTCCTCCTCCGCCGCCGGCCGGGCCCGGCTGCTGGTCCTGACGCGGCGGCTGGGGTGTCGGCAGCGGTGGCGGCGACACGCGCTGGTAGAGCGGCGGCGGAGGGGGCGGCTGCGGCGGCGGGTACGAGGAGCCCGGGGAGGGCGGCGGCGGCGGCGGCGGCGGGGGGGGAGGAGGCGGCGGCGGCGGCGGCGGAGGAGGCAGCGCCGCGAAGGGGAAGGCCGCGGTCAGGGCCCCCACGGGTGGAGGAGGTGGCGGCCCGGGCACCAGCAGCCCCGCCCCAGGCCCGGGGACAGACGGTGGCACCGGCTCGAAGCTCCCTTTAGGCCCGGGAAGGGAAGGAAGGCCGGGGGAGCCCAGCTTACCCAGCGGCGTGGCATTCGCTCCGGTAGCCATGGCGCCCCCGGGGACCCGCACCGGCGGCTCCTCTTCGGCGGCGGCTTCTCCTTAGCGAACCTTCCGGGGGGAGGGGACTCGACTGCGTTGCCGCGGAACGCGCGGAGCCCTTCCTCTCACGCGGCGGGCGGCGGCGGCGGCGCGAGACGCACAAAGAGGGAGGAGAGAGGGCGCCTCGGGGGCGGGCTGGGGGCGACGGGCCGAAGCCTGGATTGGGCCGGGCTGAGGCAAAGGGTCGGATCGGCGGCCTCCGATTGGCGGAGCTTCCGTCCTTCTCGCTGTGCGCTGGGATTGGCCGGACCGTTAGGCCTGGCGAGGAAATGGCGGCCGAGGCTGGAGAGCTGGGAGGTGTCGCAGCGCGCACTTCATTTGTTACTGCGCGAACTGAGCTCGGCGTCCAGGAAGGAGGGCTGAGGGTGGGGCAAACTATGACGTCGGCCGCAAGCGCGCTCTCATTGGCTGGACTTGATAGGCTTAAACTCGGTTGCGTCGTAGTACCCGGAGATTGGCTGTCGCGTTTTCTATTTGGGAGTAAGCGAGAGGTCGCGGCGGAAAAGCCGCGGCCAATGAGCTTTACGGCGGGGAGGAGTGCGCATGCGTAGACTGGGCAAAGTCGCCTCCGCCCCTCGCTTCACCTTCGTTCCCGGGTCTGGAGCGTGAGCCCCAAGTGACGTCAGTCCTCGATTCCCTCGTAACCCGGAACCGGGGGAGGGGGCGGGTCCGGTGCGTGTCCGTAAACGGGGTCCGTTGACACCACAGGTAGAAAAGGACATCCTGTTTTCTTTGAAGAAAAATAAAAGAGAGAAAAGTTGCTATAAAGTAGACGCTAATTGAAGGATTAAAAACCTGAGCTGATGGGACATACAACTTTAGGCGGAAAAGAATGTAAACTTGTCAGTTCTAAAATGAGTTTACAAATACGCAGTTCCATTAGACTCCCAACGTGTGGTTCATTAAATCATCTTAAAATCATTTGGGAAAATAGTGGGGAAACTTGTAAACAAGGTTGAGGAGGAACTTGCCTTTCCAGATAATACACAGTATAAAAGACAATAATAAGCCCTAGCCGGTTTGGCTCAGTGGATAGAGCATCGGCCTGCGGACTCAAGGGTCCCAGGTTCGATTCCGGTCAAGGGCATGTACCTTGGTTGCGGGCACATCCCCAGTAGGGAGTGTGCAAGAGGCAGCTGATCGATGTTTCTGTCTCATCGATGTTTCTGACTATCCCTCTCCCTTCCTCTCTGTAAAAAATCAATAAAAATATATTTTTTAAAAAAAGACAATAATAAAACCATGTGATGTAGGAATGATGTCAGTGAAACAGAGCCCTGAAGTAGATTCCCCGGTTATGGGTAAAAATACCACAAAGGTGGTATTTCAGTTCAGTAGGGAAAAGATTTAGCTAATGTTACACAGTCCTGAATAGAAACAATGAAATCACTTCCAGTGGTTCTCAACCTCCCTGATGCCACGACCCTTTAATACAGTTCCTCATGTTGTGGTGACCCCCAACCATAAAATTATTTTCGTTGCTACTTCATAACTGTAATTTTGCTACTGTTATGAATCGTCATGTAAATATCTGATATGCAGGATATATTTTCATTGTTACAAATTGAACATAAAGCATAGTGATTAATCACAAAAACAATATGTAATTATATATGTGTTTTCCGATGGTCTTAGGCGACCCCTGTGAAAGGGTCATTCGATCCCCAAAGGGTCGCGACCCACAGGTTGAGAACCGCTGACTTAGGCTGTCAGGGTAACGCAGGGGTAGAGAGTTTATGAAGACGGAACTAAAACTATGAAGAAAAGATGTACTTGATTACCAGATACATTGAAACTATGATAAAAGTCAACAGACAATAATCTACAAAAACAGTTGCCATACCTGATAAAGAGTTAATACTTTTAATATGCAAAGAAGTCTTAAAAACTAATTTTTTTCTAATTTTTATTGATTTGAGAAACATCAACTTGTTGTTCCACTTATTTATGCATTCATTGGTTGTTTCTTTTTTTTATTTCAGAGGAAGGGAGAGAGAAACATCAATGGTCTATCCAGATGACATTCTAACCAACTGAGATATCTGGCCACGAAATAACTAATTTTTTAAAAGACTACAAATAGGCAAGTTGTTTTTTTTTAACTACATCTTCGAGTTTATAGTAAATCTTTTTTTTTTAAATATATTTTATTGATTTTTTTTTTACAGAGAGGAAGGGAGAGGGATAGAGAGTTAGAAACATCGATGAGAGAGAAACATCGACCAGCTGCCTCCTGCACACTCTCTACTGGGGATGTGCCCGCAACCAAGGTACATGCCCTTGACCGGAATCGAACCTGGGACCTCTCAGTCCACAGGCCGATGCTCTATCCACTGAGCCAAACCAGTTAAGGCGCCAAATAGGCAAGTTTCAGAAAAGCAAGTCCAAATAGCAAAAAATGTTAAAGGGACCAACACTCTTAGTAGGGAAATGCAAATTAAGGTGATAATGAAGGATCTCTTTATATGATCATTAAAAGAGCAGAAGACGAATGTGCTGACACTGATATGAAGGTCTTTTTTGGAAAGCATGCTGTTGTCTGTTAAAACTGTACCCCTTCCTGGCTATTGTGTCTCAGTGGATAGAGCATCAGCCAGGGCGCTGAAGGATGGCAAGTTCAATTCCCAGACAAGGGCACAAACTTGGATTGCAGGTTCACCCTAGGTCAGGACTCATGTGGAATTGTTGTGTCTCTCATCTCTCACACTGATGTTTCTCTCTCTCTCTCTCTCTCTCTCTCTCTCTCTCTCTCTCTCTCTCTCCCCCCCCCCCCCCCCACTCCCTCCCTGAAAAAATATCTTCAGGTGAGGATTATTTTTTAAAAAGTATATCTCTTTCAAGGAAAATAAACCATTTCAATGCAGCAATCCCTCTCTGGGGAATCTGCCCCCAAAGCAGTGCATGTGATTATATAAGGTAATGTGTTGTCTTCTGCATTTTTAGGGCACATGCCTGGTTGTGGGCTTGATGCCCAGTAGGGACATGCAGGAGGCAGCCAATCAATGATTTTCATCAAATTGATGTTTCTATCTTTCTCTCCCTCTCCCTTCCTCTCTCTGAAATCAATATATATTTTTTATTATTTTTTTAAAATATGTGAGTGGTTGTCAAACCAGTGTGGCTCAGAGGTTGAGTGTCAAACTGTGAACCAGAAGGTCACCGTTTGATTTCCCGTCAGGGCACATACCTGGGTTGTGGGCTCCATCCCCAGTGGGGGACGTGCAGGAGGCAGCCAATCAATGAGTCTCTCATCATTGATGTTTCTGTCTCTCCATCTCCCTTCCTGTCTGAAATCAATAAAAATATATTAAAAAGGTATATTGTGGCCCTAGCTGGTTTGGCTCAGTGGATAGAGCATTGAACTACGGACCGAAGGGTCCCGGGTTTGATTCAGGTCAAGGACATATATGTACCTTGGCTGTAGGCTCCTCCCCAGCCTTGGCCCTGGTCAGGGCTCGTGCAGGAGGCAACTAATCAATGTGTTTCTCTCACACTGATATTTCTCTGTCTTTCCCTCTCTCTTCCACTCTCTCTAAACATCAATGGAAAAGTATCCTCAGGTGAGGATTAAAAAAACAAACAAACAAAAAGATATATCTGTGAATGGTTCAACAAATTGAAATATCCATAACCTGGAATTAGGCAGCCTTGAAAAGCTGTTAACCCCATACCACCTGACCTAGAAGGACTAATGTGCTGGGGTTTTGTTTGTTTGTTTTTGGTTTTAAAGCAGAATTCATTTTTTAAAAAATCCTTACCTGAAGATAAGTTTTTATTGATTTGAGAGAGAGAGAGAAACATTGATATGAGAAGCATCAGTTGGTTTTATCCCGTACATGGCCTGACCCAGGACCCAACCCACATTCTAGGCATGTGCCCTGACCAGGTATCAAATCCGCAACCTTTTGGTGTATGGGACGAGATTCCAACCAACTGACCTACCCAGCCAGGCTGTGGTGGGGTTTTTTTGTTTAATATTATTTTTTGCCCGAGCCAGTTTGACTCAGTGGATAGAATGTCGGCCTGTAGACCGAAGGGTCCCAGGTTCGATTCCCATCAAGGGTACATGCCTGAGTTTTAGGCTCAATCCCTAGTAGGGTGTGTGTGTGCAGGAGGCAGCCGATCAGTGATTCTCTCTGATCATTGATGTTTCTATTTCTCCCTCTCCCTCTCTGAAATCAATAAAAACATATCTTAAATAAATAAATACATAAATAAAATGTGTCACTTTGACATAAGGATTATTTTTAAATTTTTATTTTTTTAATCCTCAAGCAAGGATATTTTCCCATTGATTTTTTTAGAGAGTGAAGAGAGAGGGAAAGACAGAAATATGGATGTGAAAGAAACACATCGATTGGTTGCCTCCTGCATGAGCCTGGATCAGGGCCCGGTCAGGGGTGGAGCCTACAACCAAGGTACGTGCCCTTGACTGGAATTGAACCTAGTACCCTCCAGTCTGCAGGTCAACGCTCTATCCACTGAGCCAAACTGGCTAGGGCTGTTTTGTTTTTAAATGAGAAAAGAAGCAGGTAAATATACTACATTACATGATTTTCTTTTTGTAAAACAAACCTCATATATGCGTGTGTATGTTTGCATATGGTTATATGATTATAGAGAAAGCTATGGAAGGGTCCCCGCACACGTTGTCAGTGATAGTGCTGGAGAGGGAAACGAACCGGAAAGTTACCCAATACGCTTTTAATGACCCAGTATGTTTTCAAAATGTGCTTCATGCTCTGAAAATGTAAGGCATGCCCGTTGCTCACATGTTGCTCAGTGATTGAGCGTCAACCTATGAATGGGAGGTCACAGTTCGATTCCGGTCAAGGGCACATGCCTGGGTTTCAGGCTCCATTCCCAGGAGGGGTCATGTAGGAGGCAATCGATCAATGATCATCGATGTTTCTAGCTCTCCCTCTCCGTTCCTCTCTGAAATTAATTAAAACATTTTTAGAAACTTAAACACACCTACCATATAATCCAGTCCTTCCATTCCAAAATATTGTCGATGTAAACATGTCCAAACCAGTATGAGAGTTTGAGTTTTATTTGAGCCAAATTGACAACGTACTGGACAAAAAAGGTGCTCCCTTGAGGGTGACCACACCTCTGAGGGGTCTGCGGATTACCTCTAGCATTTCAGGGTGTGTTACCCTAAATGCACAAGAACAGTGGACAGGGCTGGCTTATGACCTGGGGGGTGACTGCCCACCATGACCTGCCCGATTAGAATTTATGATCAGATCACCCTGTGGGGTTACTTTCCATTAGATTTATTGCAGTGCCCCTGTTCTGTCCATAGCCACACACATTCAGGTACATGAATGTTGAGAGCCGCTTTATTTGTAACAATCCCAACCTGGAAACCACCCAGATGTTCACCAGGTGACTAGCTAAACAGACTGGTATATCCCCATACAGTGGAATACTACTTAGCAATAAAAAGGAATGGCTATTAATTAATACATGCAGCAACATGGATGAAACTCAATTGTGCTTAGTGAAAGAAGCCAGAGAGGAACATGGTACATAGTGTATGATTCTATGTATATAAATTCCGAAAAATTCAAATCCATCTCTATTGACAGCAAGCAGACCAGTGGTTAGTTGGGGATGGGGAGGTGAAGAGCAGGAGGGTGTGACTACAAGGAGGCCGAGGAAGCTTTTGGGGGGGATGGAGATGTTTATCTTGGTTGTGGTAATGGTTTCACGGGTGTGGTGTATTTGTGTTGAAGTCATCAAACAGTACATTTTTTTTTTTAAGCTTTTTTTTTTTTTTTTTTAAATATATTTTATTGATTTTTTACAGAGAGGAAGGGAGAGAGATAGTTAGAAACATCGATGAGAGAGAAACATCGATCAGCTGCCTCCTGCACATCTCCCACTGGGGATGTGCCCGCAACCCAGGTACATGCCCTTGACCGGAATCGAACCCGGGACCTTTCAGTCCGCAGGCCGACGCTCTATCCACTGAGCCAAACCGGTTTCGGCCAAACAGTACATTTTAATATTTGCAGTTTATTGTATGCCGATTATTCCTCCATCAAGCTGTTTTTTAAAGGAAACAATAGGAGGAAGCAATTACTGGGAAAGATCTGCCCACAATTTCATCGTCTCCACTTGAGGTCCTTATCTAGGGAAGGATTATCTTGGCTTTCGTTTTCGTTTTTTAAACCATTATAGGGCTTTAATTTTTGTGTGATTACTTTAAAACATTTCAACCTAATCTTTTATTACATAGGATTTGATACATACAAAAGGATGTGTGCGCCTTAGGTGAGCTAGAAACGGAGTTATAAATGGAGCACCGTGAAGCTACCACCCAGCCTGAGCGCCAAGATATCGCCAATACCTTCTGCAAACTCCTGGGGTCCTCTTACCCACCCTCGCTCCCCTCACAGGGATCAGCATTTTGCATTTTGTGCTTTTTCTTCTTCTGGCCTCCTAGTGGAGTTTTATCACATGTGTATCACCAAACAATACATAGTGCAGTTTTACTGTAATACTGTATGTAGTTCTATGCAATCTGTTGTTTTAATACATCTCTAAGACGCACCTGTGTTGTTGCATGTTGTGTACGAGGGTGTTTTCAATACTCCCGACAGCCCTGCAGGCAGACTTGGGTCTGATACACCCAGGAAGACACGGCTCAGCAAGCTCACCCAGCCCAGGGGCCCGACTCCGGGCCCTCTTCACGACACGCTCATTCCTTCCCGAGGAAGGCATGCGCCAGGCAGTGGCCCGGCGCTGGGCGTGGCTCAGTGAGCGTGGCCACTTTCTGGTTGTCACCTCTCCTCTTGACCCTCACTAGGCTGGTGTATGGGCCGGCTACCTGGACGCCTGGGCCGCCCACACCTCTGCACTCACCCGTGGAATGGCTGAGAGGCGGATCCGACCCATCCCAGAGGCTCCTGCCCAGGGAGGGCACCCTGCCGCGCCACTCCAGGGATTTGTCCTCATGGACACTTGGCGATGCCAGTGGCATCTGGCATATTTATTGCAGCATCGTTTTTAATTCCAAAATAGTAGAAACAAATTCCCATCAGTGGGGATCTAATTACAGTAAATTAACACGTTATGGGAAACCTCTATAATGGAATACCACTGTCTATTAAAAAAGGGGGGGGAGAGGGGGAGGCACTGATCATGGAAAGCTTTCCCCCTCTGTCTGATCAAGGACAGATTTTATTTTATTTTTTTATTTAAGTATTTTTATTGATTTTTAGAAAGAAAGTAGAGGGAGCGAGAAATGCCCTGACTGGGACTGGAACCTGTAGTGCGTGAGAGAACACCCACCCAACCGAGCACCAGCCCAGGGCACCAGGCAGATGTCAGCGGCGGTGCGAGCAGTGGCGGTGCTGCTGTGGTGTTACGGGGAGGAGGAGGCCGAGCTGGCTACAGTTTTAGTCTTTCAGCGCATATCTCCTGGCTTCTTGATCTTTCTCTGGCTTGTGGCCAGCCTTTGCCATCAGCAGATATTTTATCAGAGTGCTAGCTTTTCCCAGACCCCCTCCTTGGCACATTAGACTCCGAGAGTCCCCAACCACCTCCCCTTTTCAGACCAGGCTAGCAGCCCAGGACTGGGGAGACCTGCCATGAGGTGGTACTGTCTGCCGCTTGGTGCTCTGGGGGCAGATCCGTCCTCCCTGGGTACCCGAGGTCAGGAGCCTCTGCTGACAGGGCTCTCACCTCCACTACTGGCTCCTCAGCTAACCCTCCACCTCCACCAGGAAATCTAGGAAATGGAAAGTCAGGAAGCACAGCCCTCTCACCCCCCATTCGGCCTGAGATGCTCTCCACGCGGGGCAGCCTCACCTTCTGAACTCGCCCCTTTGGCAATCAGAGAACACAGGTGAGTGCGCCCAGTGCACAGAGCTGACTCCCCATTTCAGCTGAGAAACCCAGTCACTAGGAGTCAGAGCAGCGGGGGCTCTGCTGGAGTGTGGACAGGGGAACACTATGACAGCCATGGGATTGCCTGGGGCCCCTGCCAAGGGCTGTAGGGACTGGGCTGCTACTGGCTCTTCACATAAGCTGCCATCTACCCACCACTCACTCATCAAATACCTCCCAACAGCCCACCAGGTGTAGAGAAGTTCTTATTTAAACACTTGCCTTCAATATCAGAAGGGACATGGTGGGGCCAAACTCCAGCTCTTCTCCCAGAGCCAGAGCCCCCCACCTGCTGCAGCCCTGGTTCTGCCTTGCACCACCCTCCTGCAAGGCCAGCTACCATCCTTCCTCTTGGCTGCACTGGCCCAAAGGCTCTGGTCAGTGCCTGGGGCAACAGGAGGCTCCCAGGGTAGGGAGCCCTTAAGAGGGAAATGGGGGAGAAGGACAATGCAAAGCACGAGGTCAGCCATGGGTGGTGGGTGTGCCCTCGAGATGCAGACTCCAGCAAGGACAGCCCCCTTCATGGGGGCTGGTCCCCAGTTGGTGGTGGCCCCTCTGTGAGCCCAGGGCCTGGCACTGAGAAGGCCCTCTGGCAATACTTGTTAATGGACACTGGCTAATCTCACCAAAGTCTGGCTTGATGATGGTGCCCACACGCCGTCGGTCTGGCCTGACCAAGCACACGATACCCAGGCAACAGGTGGGAGGCAGGGAGGCAGCCCCAGGCCTGGGCAGGAAATGCAGGTCACGGCAGGCTGGCTCCATAGGCCTCCCCGGGGCTGGGTGGAGCAGCCCTCGGCTGGCCCCTCCCGGCCCCTGGCTGCCTGGTGAGAGCCTACATGGGGCAGGGCTGCCCGGATGAGAGTCACACTGCAAAGGTCACACTGCAGAGCTGAGGGCTCATCCTGAGCAAGGGAGCCCAGAGAGACAGTGCCCGAGAGGCCTGGTGGGAACACTGGCCTCCCCGTCACTGATGCCTGCACCCCCATGAGGGAGCCACCACAACACTGGCGGCCTGCCCTTCCATGGTGCACCCCCAGCACCTGGTGCCACAGAAAGACGTGCTGGAGGGAGGGAGGAGGAGGAGGGAAGTGAGGCCATGGCTTAGGTCCCCCTGACCCACAAGGACCAGTGGAATAAAGTCAAACCAGCTTTAATACCAATATAGTTCTCTCTTTTAAATATTATGTTCCCAGGACAGGGGGCAGGGGCAGGCTCTTGGCGGGAAGAATGGAAAGGAAATGTGGAACAACATGGAATGGATCGTCCAGGGCCTGCCCCCACCCGACCCAGGGCCTCTGCCACGGGCACTAGGACCTGGGCTGCTGGGGGGGTGGAGGGGCGGGGAGGTGACAGCAGCTTCCTCTGGTCCAGTTATTGCAGGGGTGAGGGAGGGGTGCTCCTCCCCTCCACAGCCCCCAAACTTCTCAGGATTACTTCTGCCCTTCAGCCCAGCAGAGCTGGGGGCCTGGGCTCCGCTGACCTCGGAGGGGCCCTCTGTCTAATGAACTGCAGCTAAGGCACGGGGGGGTGGGTGCCGCTGGCTAGGCCTGCGCTGCTCAGTAGCTGCTCTGATGGCCAGTGAGGATGTAGAGGTTGCTGTGAGCCCCCGGGTTGTCGGTGGGAATGCTCTCCAGGATGATGTCCCTGGAGGTGAGAGAAGGGAGGTGAGCCGGGCAGAAGACCCGTGGGCACGGCCACCTGGCCTCAGGGGCCTCTGAATGGGAGGCCAGGCGCCATGTCCTACCTGTGGGCCCCAAGCACTCGGAAGACCCTCGTCTCATCTGTGATCTCCTGGGTCACCTGGGAAGAAAAGGGCACTGAGGCCACTCCGGCGGGTCCTCTCCGAAGAGGTGGACACAACTGGGTCAAGGGCAGCCAGGTTCGGCTCCTGAGTCCCACTCACCTCGTTGGTGTCCAGGCTGCGGCCTTGCATTCCGTGGCTCCAGAAAGCCAGCACGCTGTCCTGCAGACACACTGGGAGGGGCCGGGCTGCCATCAGCCCTGGGCCTGCCCTGAAGGTGGGGGCTTCCCCGGGCAGAGGGGTCCTCAAGGACCGCAGGTGACCAGGACGACCCTTATGAGGGGCTAGGGGACCTGACTCCTTGCCCTGCTGCCAGCTGAAAGGCCTGGGGTACTCCAGCCCCCACCTTGTCTGGCTCACTCACCCACAGTCTCAATGGGGAAGTCAAAGGTCAGCACAGGAGCCAGTGTGGCCGTAGGCTCACCCAGCAGGTTGACAATCCTCACGCAGCCTGCACAGGGAGAGGGCAGGTGGGCGGGGATGGGGTGGCTCCCTTCTGGGGAGGTGACCCAGTTGGCCTCCCTCACCACCCGCCTCCCCTGTCCGAAGCCCTAACCCCAGGGCACTCACGGTCAAAGCAGACCAGAACTGTGTCCCTGTCCACCTGGACCACCTGCTGGGCCGAGCCTGGGAGCCCCTCTATAGGCAGAGAAGGGAGACATGAGCCACCAACCCTGCCGTGGCCCCAAGAGGAGGACATGGGGGACAGTCTCAGGCAGCCCTGGGCCACAAGTGCATTTCATTCGTACAGCCTGGGAGGTCAGGATGCCTAACCTCCCTGCACAGCTGGGGAACTGAGGCTCAGAGGCAGTGGGGAGCCCGGGGAGCGGGGAGGGTGGGCTCCGGAGTCAGGAGAACCAGGCTCTGGGACTCAGTTGCTGTGTGACCTTGAATCTCTGAGCCTCGGTCTCCTCATCCGTAACACAGGCATGAAGATGCCAACCTTGCAGGGCCGTTGTGGGGATCAAGAATGAAATCCTGTGCGTTAGACCCCTGGCTCGGAGCCTGGGACACAGCAGGGCCTCCGTTCAGGGCACTTTCCTCCTCCTCTGCCCACTGCCACCCACTCTGCTCCCAGGAGCTGCCCCACACCACGTGTCCTGCTTCCTTGCTCAGAACGGAGCCTCTGAGCCAACTTGCCCGGCTGGTCTGTGCCTGCAGCGCCTGCAGCATTGGTCAGTTTTTTATTAGCTGCCAAGCCCTTTGGTCTAAGGCAGCGGTTCTCAACCTGTGGGTCGCGACCCCTTTGGCAGTCGAACGACCCTTTCACAGGGGTCGCCTAAGACCATCCTGCATATCAAATACTTACATGACGATTCATCACAGTAGCAACATGACAGTTATGAAGTAGCAACGAAAATAATTTTATGGTTAGGTCACAACATGAGGAACTGTATTTAAAGGGCCAGAAGGTTGAGAACCGCTGGTAAGGACGTCTTTTAGGGAGCCCAGCTGCAGGGAGGCTGGGCGCTCAGGACCCTCGGGTTTCCGTGGACACACACACACACACACACACACCCAGCCCTCCCGCTTACCAGGTGGTATGAGCACATCAGGTGTCAGGCCGGCCTCCAGGGGCAGCACATGGAACAGGACACGGCAGCCAGGCCCCTCAGGGCCCTCGGCCCCCACACACACCTGCGGTAGCTCCTTCCCATCCAGCACCAGCGGCTCCAGCATCCCTGCTGGGCTGGGCAAGGGGCTGGAGAAGTTCTGGGGGCAGCAAGGGTGCTCGGGTCTTCATTTCTTCCCCAAGCCCCCTGCCCCTGCTGGAGGGTCCCCTTGGCCTCCCCTCCTCAGCCTGTCTCCCCACCCCCCGCCCCACACCTTCAGCAGCAGGAACTTCTGTAGCGGCTCGTACCACTGCAGCAGGAGCAGGCTGGCGGGCAGGGCGGCCAGCAGGAAGGTGCTGCTCGTGTAGGGGTTCCGCACTGCAAGAGGGGCAGGCGGTGGGCATGGCTGGGCCCGCACCCAAACCCCTCCCTGGTCCGTCCAGCCCAGCTCTTACCCACACGACACTGCAGGCAGCCTTTGGTGTCAGGAATCTTGGTGGACAGGGCAAAGCGCCTGTAGGGGTGACAACCAGGGCACACATCATAGGTGAGGCCCGACAGAGCCCTGAGAGGTGGGTTCTGTCACCTTCTCTGCCTTACAGGGAAGAGACTCAGGCTCAGACAGGCACAGCGACTTGCTGTGAGCCACAGCTGTGGGAGGCAGGGGGCGGAAGCCGGTCTCATGGCTGCAGCACCCCCCTCTACAGCCTGGAGTGTCCGTCCAGTCCAGGGGTTCAGATCTCAGGATTACCTCTAACCGTGTGCCTCTGAGCAAGTCACCGCCTCCCCATGCCTCGATTCCCTCATCTGTAGAATGGGGTGGCGGGCCACCCTCCTCGTAGGGCCCCAGTGAGGATGCCGTGGGCTCACAGGCAGAGCCTGGCCTATCTCGTGCACTCACTCAGGGCTAGCTGTTACCACCCCGTGTTACTACTTCCCACCTATTTCCAATCACTGGCAACGGAGGGATGAACGAAGAGACGATGCAGCGCCAGCTCCACTAGGCAGCCAGTGCTCACATCCCGTCCCGGCCCCACAGGACCCGGGTCATGATGAGCCAACGGGCCCAGCGATGAAGACTGGCAGGAAAAGGCAAAAGGCCTGCCCCCAGCTGTTTTCGCCGAGTCCACGGCCCTGGGTGGCCAGTGCTGGCTCACCTTGGTGCCCGGGAAGAAGCGGGGTCCTTGCCTTGGTTCCTGTCTGTCCCCTAAGCCCCTAAGGGACTTGCTGAGCCTCTATCTTTCTCTGGGGAACAGGGCTACACATGAGCAGTGCTGCCACCACCTCGCAAGGACCCCAGCCCTGTCTGCCCTCTGCCAGGATGTGGGCCCCGCCGAGGAAGCCAACGCCTGCCTGTCTGTCTGTCTTTCTCTGCCTGTCTGTCTGTCTGTCTTTCTCTGCCCCTGTCCTCACTCCTCTCTCTCCCCTTGTTCCTCCCACTCTCTTCCCCAACTGGCCTTCAGCAGATGTTTCTGTGTTTGATTTTTTTCCTCCAAAGCCATTCTGGTTCTCCGCTCTTTACATGTGAAATGGACACTGGGACTCTGTGATGTCCCAAACACACACCCCAAGCTGCCTGTGACACGGGCTCTCATGGGCCTGTTTCCTGTAGGTCCTGGGCCAAAGCAAAGACTGGCTTGGGGACTGAGCTCAGGAAGCCCCGAGGCCGGGGCTGCAGATGTGGTCCTGGCGTGAGTCCGCTGCAGGCAGGGCATCCCCCCAGCTGTGGAGCCACTGGCCTGGCCTCCCCGCCTGGCCCACAGGCGTCCACCACCACCTGGTCACAACAACAGCTACGCCCACAGCCCGGCCACCCCCTCGAGCCTCCACCTCGCTCAGCCAACAGCTGACAGGTCCCGCTTGCATGTCTCAAACTCAGTGTGACAACATGGAGCTCTGCTCCACCCACAGCTGCTGACAGCTCCATCCTTCCGTTGCCCGGCCAGGAACCTTGCCTCCTCTTTCTCTTCCATCCACCAATTGTCAGGAAATCCCGTTGGTTCAACTTTCAAATTAAAGCCAGAATCCGACCGTTTATCACTTCTTTCCCTGCTCCCCCAACCCAAGCCGCCATCTCCCATCTGATTCTTTCAACCACCTCCTGACAGGTCTCCTGCTTCCACCCTCATCCCCTCCGGTCTATTCTCAACACAACAGCTGGAGCGATTCCGTGAAGACTCGGTGCACACAGCTCCGCAGCGGCCCTCAGGCAGCTCTGAGTCAAAGCCAAGGGCCTCACTGTGGCCACAGGGCCCTTCTAGGTCATCTCCCTCTGACATACAGAGGGGTCCTTCTAAAATGCTCACAGCACTGCTGCCAGTTGGGCAGAGCTCAGATCCTGGGCCTGGCATCGAAGGGAGCTCCGCCCCTGCCACCTGTGCAGCTCCCTCTCAGGCCACTCCAACTGCCTCCCAAAGGCCCAACACCTCATACCTCCGGGCCGACCACATTCGCACTTGCTCTTCCCTCTGCAGGGAAGGCCTCTGTGCACTTCCAAACGCCATGAGCTCACCTGCCCTCTCTGAGGCCTCCCGGCCCCTCCCAGCCTCCCCACCCCCACCCCCACCCCCAGTTCAGCTCAGTGCCAGATACTGAGTCCCAAGGACTGACTCATTTGATCGTAGTCTCCAAGCCCAGCCTGAGACCTAGTCCTAGTGCGTACTAAGTGCTCAGTAAACGTTTGCCCCACGTCCTAAGAACCACAGCTCCCACAATCGGCAAAGCAATTTCACATCCCCGACTTCCTTCTTGCCTGCCAACAGGCCTGGAGTCAGGGGAGGGGAGGCTCTCAATGTACTGACAGATGAGGAAACAGGCTCAGAGAGGCAAAGTGACAGGTCTAAGATCTCAGCAGGTCTGAGATCTAAAGTCCCAGGGACGAGCAAGGCTAGAGTCCAACCCTGGCTCTGCCCCTCTGCCTCCCCGCTACGCCCCTCTCCCCTGCACCCCCACGGTCCCCAACCTGGGGATGATGCGCTGGGTGAGGCGGTTGGTGGGGATGGAGAGGGGAACCTGCTGCTGCAGTCGCCGCTGCTCAAACAGGCCCGGGAGGTCGTGGGACCAGATGTGCGCGGATTTCCCTGCCAAGGAGGGAGGGGGGCTCAGAGCGCTGGCGGGCAGGGTGCCCCCCTGTCCCCCCCCGCCCCCCGCCTGCTCCAATGTGTACCTGAGAGTGACAGCAGCACATTATTCACACAGTAGAGCCAGGCGCAGCGGTGTGAGATCAACTGCAGGCCACAGAGCGACAGATGGACAGGCGGTCAGCACCCCAGGCCCCCCAAGGCCCTCCGCCCTCCGCAGCCAGCCAGGCCTCACCTTCTCCAGTGTGTCCTCGTGCAGTTCATGCAGGTTGAGGGTGTAGATGCCTTCCTCGGCCCCCACCACCAGGAACTGATCTGCAGTTTGAGTACAGGGTCAGAGGTCAGTCGGGAGCCCTGGCCCAAGCTGGGGATTCCCTGGCTCCTGCTTCCTGCCCGCCCCGGCCTACCCCGGGTGCCAGGGTGAATCCAGGTGACAGCAGCATGGATCCGCAGGGGGCAGCCATTGAAGACCTTGGAGAAGCAGGCACCCATCTGGGGGAGGCAAGAGGCTGTAAGGAAGCTCCGGGCGGTGGGCGGTGGGGCTCCGGGCGGTGGGCGGTGGGGCTGCGGGCGGCGGGCGGACACTTACGTGCACCTTGGGGGTCGGGGGCAGCCCATGGCAAGACGATCTCTGGGAGGGAAGGCGGAGTCAGGACGATGTGCCCCCGCGGCCTCCCATCTCCCCAGTCCCTCTGCGGCCCCCTCACCTCAGGATCCTCCTGGTGCTTCATGGTGGCCCAGGCGGTGGGGAGAGGCGGGGGGCTGTCCGAGCCTGAGAGAGGTCGGGGTGGGGTTCCTGCAAGCACAGACCCAGGGTACATTCCAGGCCCAGCCTCCCCCACCAGGCCCTCTCCTGCCCCCCACCCCCCGCCCCGGGCCTGCTTCCTGGTCCCCCGAGCCTGGGACTCACCTGGGGGGCTGGACAGAGAGTCCTCAGCTGGAGGCTCATGTGGGGCCGGCCCCAAGGGGGCCCGCTTGATGGTTCCTACGGCATCGTCTGGAGAGTCCAGCTCCTGGGGGGAGGGTCCGGGGGCCCAGCCCAGCTGTTAGCAGGTCACCTTGTAAACTGGTCCCATCCCGGCTGCACCCTCCAAAGCACTGTCCCCACCCCGGCTCCAGCTTCCCTCCGCCCGCACCTGGAGTTCCAAGGCTGGCCGGATGGTCAGGCTCCTAGGCGGGCAAATCAGAGGGAAATGTGTGAGCTGTGACTGGGCCCACCGTCTGCCCCTCGCCTCCAGGCCCAGCCCTCACCTTTCCTCCAGGGCCTCCTGGACTGACTGCAGCAGGCTCCTGGCAGGGAGGGGAAGGTCAGGGTGCAGCCTCCCCGAGCCCCCGCCCGTTCCGGCAGCTTCCCTCCCTCACTCACCCGCTCAGCTCCTCCTTGCCCAGCAGCGTCCACTCCTCTTCCCACTGTGGGGAAACCGAGGCAGGAAGATGGGAGAGAGAACAGAAAGGCAGTGTGAGAGGGTGATCGAGAGGCTGTGGGAGAGAGAGAAGACAGACAGATGGAGAGTGAGACGGTAATAGGCGAGAGGCTTGTGAGAGAGAGGAAGACAATGAGAGGCAAAGATTGTGAAAGAGGCAGACAAACAGCGGAGAATGAGGCAGAGACGCCAGAGAGCCGGGCAGAGAGACAGACTGTGCGGGTGACGAGACGCTGATAACGAGACCGCGAGGCAGCAGAGACGTGAGTCAGGCAGCCAGTGACAGGCAGAGATCGAGGCGGAGAGAACTGTGCTGAAAGGGAGGGATGGGGGCTCGGCCGTGTGTGGTCCCCTCGCCACATTCCAGGTGACTGTCCCGGACTGGGCCCTGGAAGGAGCCCCCAGCCTCCCATGTCCCTGGCGGGACAAACATGCTTGGACAGCTTCCCCAGGCCCAAGGGCCAGCGATTCAAAGACCCTTTGATGAGATGCTCGCCCTCCAGCACAGCACCCAGCCCACCCCTGAACCCCCTCCCGCACAGCCAGCCTCACCGGCTCAGGTAGTGGGTCCGTTTCCTTCCTGCGTGGGGCGCCAAACTTCACCTGGTGAACTGGGGTGCCCAGTGTACATAGATTAGGGGGGAATGAAGACTTACCCTCACACTCATACCAAATCCACTCACACAGCCAGCCCCCCAGAAAATCCACACACAGCCCCCCAGAAAATCCACATACAGCCCCCCAAATCCACACACAGCCCCTTCCCCTGACTTACACTGGATCTCTGAGGGGGTCCTCTCAGCCTGGCCGTGCTGACCCCGGGAGTGAATGGTGTCTGGAAACATGTCGTAAGTCTAAGAAGGAACACAAACAGTGGACACACACCCAGCACGCACCTCGCCCCACCTCCAGTGTGCTCTACACACACACTCTGTAGATCATCGTGAGATTAAACGGCACCTTCACTCCATAATTGAGAAAACCAGCACACAGAGGCAAATAACTGGCCAAAGATCACACAGAGAGCAGATGGCCAAGCGAGGGTCACGGTCAGCCTGGGTCAAGGGCGGGCCCCCACCAAGGGACAGTACAGGAGGCAAGGCCAGCTCAGGGAAGATTCCTAGTGGGTGGCTCACCTGGAGGGAAGCTCCTTATGCTGGAAATATTCCAGTTAAAGGGACCTTGGCCTATGTCACCTCCGCACTCCCTACAACCAGGCCAGGCCAAGACTCCCTTCCCCAGCCCCACTCACCTCCAGGTCACAGTCCTCCGGGGAGAGGGCGCCCAGGTGGGGGTCGCTGGCCTTGTCCAGCAGCTGTGTGAGGAGAGCCCGAGGGAGCTGCTGCGTTGTGAATGGGTGCTGGAGGATGGAGGGGGGTTCAGGTTGGTCTCTGGCCCCCAGGCCTCTGCTTTCAAGCATTGAGCCCCTGCCCCCACCCCCTGCCTCTCACCTGTAGAAGCTTCTCTGCTGTTGGCCTCTTCTTGGGGTTCTTGGTCAAGGCCAGCTTGAGGAAGTGGTGGAAATTCTGGGTCCTAGTGGGCACAAGAGCCCCCAGACCCAGGTCAGCCCTCAGGTAGGGCATCCTGCCAACTGCCCCCTGCTGCCACTCCAGAGGAGTCTGCTGGGCCTGCCCAGGAAAGGGCCAGCCCGAGGCCAGGGGCAGCCGGCCTAAGCAATACTGCTGTTGCGACATGGAAGCTCCTCCATCAACAACCACCGTCCACGCCAGCCATGGCCCCGAGATGCGCCCCAGGCCCCTCCCACGGATGGTCTGCAGAATACCAGAGGGCAGGGCTCTTGAGGCTGCGCCCTGGGAGCTGGCAGATGGCTCCTCTGCTCCCCTGAGGACTGACTGAAAAGGGGGGCCCAGCAACGAACATGGGCCTCACCAGCGAGTCTTGTCCCTCAGCTTGGGCGGCTGGAAGCTGCTCTTGGACATGAGCATCAAGGCCCTATGGACAGCAAAAGGTCAGGAGCTGGGGGTCAACAGGGCCCCAGGGGCCAGGCAAGGGGCAAGTGTTCAACTGACCTCATGGGGTGCAGGTGGAACAGAGGGGGCTGCAGCTCGCCCAGCTCAATGGCTGTAATGCCCAGGGCCCAGACGTCACACAGCTCGTTGTAGCCACCTTTGCGCTCCACAGCGGCCACCTCGGGGGCCATCCTAGAGGTGGGGTCACAGATGTGATGGCCGGGTTCCCCCACCTGTGGCCCCTACCGCCTCAGCCCAAGACGCAGCCTCACCAGTATGGAGTCCCAATGAAAGACCTCCTCTTAGCCACAGATGCCGTCAGCTCGCCCGACACCCCAAAGTCAGCTGCAGGGAGAGAGAGCTCCTGGAACCCGCCCTCTGGCTGCCACGCCCCACCCACCTCTAAGGCTCAGACTCAGGATGCAGCTGGCAGGTTCAGACAACAGGCAGACCAAGTTCAGCTACAGCTGCCAGGGCCGGGGCCCCCTCCTAGGAAGGGCCAACCACCTTCAATCGCTGACCAAGTGCCAGGCCACACGTTGGACTCCATGCAGACCCAACCACATCCAGCTTGTAGTAGGGAGGGAAGACTCTTCCGCTTTTCTCAATGGGGAAATTGAGGCCCGAGCTGGAAAGTGACTTGCCCAAGGACACCCAGCACTTGAACGCAGCTCCCACAGACCCTCGCCCTGATCCTGTCCCCGGGGTACTGACCCAGCTTGACATCTCCCTGGAGGGTGAGGAGAAGGTTGGCGCCCTGGAGGAACGGAGACGAGAGAATCCCATCTGGAGCTCCCGAGAGCCTCCTCCTCCCTCCTCCCTCCCCCAGAGCCCAAGGCCAGACCCCTACCTTGATATCTCTGTGGATCTTCCCCTGAGAATGCAAGTGGTGCAGCCCCTGGGGACAAAGGAGAGCCCCTGAGAGCAGCTACCCAGCAACATCCCACCTTTCCTGAGCCCTCTGAGGACTGGGCCCCCCACCCAAGCCGCTTCCTCCTCCCCTCTCCCCAAACAGGAAGTGACTGAGCCAAGAGGGAAATGGGCTGCTTCCGGCAACAGGGTTGGGGCCCCTTCTCCCAGGACCCACCGCCCCTCACGCCAGCCCTCCCTGAGGCACTCCACCCCCCACACTGGCCAGCTGGGCTCCCTGCCCACAGCTCCTGGGCGCTGGGGTGTGAGCAGCCTTATGGGCCCAGCTACCTTCAGTGCCTCTCGGCAGACGTAGGCAATCTGCCGTTCCTCCAGGGGCCCAGTGGCTGAAAGGGAAGGGTAAGAGCTAGCATGGAGGTCTGGGGGATATGCTGACCCTCCCAGGCCACCCTCCCTCCAGGAAGCCACAGGCGTCTGGGACGCGGAGCCCAGGGAAAGGCAGTTATTTCTCTCAAGGTCACACAGCCAGCGAGGAGGAGCCTTGGGCCCCAGCTCTCCCCTCCTGCCACAGGTTGGGGGTGAGGGGGGACGTAGACTGGAAGAAAAGCAGCAGCAGCAGCCCGTGCGTGCCCTGTGGGGCCGGAGTCCTGGCCCGCACCATGGTAAATCTCCTGCAGGGAGCCCCCTCCGCAGAACTCCATGCAGATCCACAGGCGGTCATTCCTGGGGGAACACAGCGCCGGTGGGCACAGGGCAGGGCCACACGGGGCTGCCGGGGCGGGCAGGGGCAGGGGCCGCGGCCTCACCTGAGATAGCTGCCAATGTAGGCCACCACGTTGGGGTGGTGGCACTCACGCAGGATAGTGATCTCCTGCTGGAGGGAGCTGATGTCGTCCCCTGGGGAGCACAGGGCATCGGGGGTGGGGGAGGAGCTCAGAGGCGTCGCCCTAACTCAGCGCCCTCATCTTCCAAGGACCCCTGAGTTCTGCCTCCCTCCAGGCCAGACAGGTGCCGGGGACACCACCCCCGGGGGCTGCCTCTCAGCGGCCTCCGAAGTGTCAACTCTCCGCCCCGCGCGCCGGGCTCCCTGCCCTTCCTCCCGCGCGGAGGCCCGGCCCGGCCCTCACCTGGGTCCAGCTTGACGATCTTGACCGCGGCCAGTTCGGACGTGACGGTGTCGCGGGCCTAATGGGACAGTGGGAGCAGCGGGATGAGGAGGGGGCGGGGCCGGGGGCCGGATCCCGCGCAGGGCGCGGAGCCGGCTACCTCCTCGCGGCTCCCCCGCCCGTCCAGCCGCCGGCGCACCTTGTAGACGTCGCCGTAGGTCCCGGACCCCACGCGCTGCAGCAGCTCGAAGCGGTCCCGCGGGTCCTGCAGCGACACGTCCCGCAGCAGCGCCATGGCCCGGCGCCGGCGGGCCGGCGGGCGGGAGGACGCGATCCGCGGAGCCGGAGCCGGAGCCGGCGCGGGGCGGCGCGGGGCGGCGCGGGGCGGGCGCCGGTGGCTCGGAGGCCGCTGGGGCGGGGCCGGGGCCTGGGGCGGGGCCAGGCAGGGGATGCCCCGCCGCCCGGCCGGGAGGAGGCGCCCGCGGGACAGGCCCTGGGCAGGAAGGGGAAGCCCCGAAGCCCCGCGGAGCCGCCGGTCCCTGCGTCCTACAGGAGGGGAGCCCGAAGGCAGAGGAGAGAGGGCACTCCACCTCCACCCCCCAAATTCCCAAATGAAAGAGACGTACTTTTTTTTAACAAAATGTATTCATCTTCCTTGAAACTGAAAAATAAATCTATGTACAAAACAGAGGTCAGGCTCCCCCACCCACTGGCAAGCCCCTGCAGATGCCCCCGGGGCCCCCGAGACGGCCAGACCCAGGGAGGGTTCCGAGGGCCGGAAGAGGGGGCTGCTCTCATCTGGAGCCCGTTGGTGGGAAGGGGGGTGCTCGGGATGCACAGGCTGGAGGGGTTTGAGTCCCGGACTGCGAGCCGGAAGGGAGGGAGCTGGGAGCTCCGAATCCTGGGAGCGCCCCTTCTTCATTCTGTGGGGTCGGGGCTTGGGTTCCGAGGGACAGAATTCTGAGTGCGGGAACGCTCTCCGAGCCGGGTCGGGTCCTAGGTCCCCGGGCTGGAGGCGGGACCTGCGCGTCTGGACTGCGGGGTGAAACTTCGGCCCCGGGTGAGGGGGACCCAGAGCGCACTGGTCAGGCTGCGGCCGGAGCCGCGGTCTGAGGTGGGGCCTGAGGCCCCGCGAAGCTTCCATCGCCAGCTGGGAGGCCGGGACGGGTTCTATGTTCCAATGGCGAGCGCGGGGTAGTCTGACTCTGGGTCCGGACCGAGCCCCGGTTCCGGGTAGGGGTGGGGGTGGGGCCTGGAGGCCGGGCCGCGGCCCCATTGGCTGGGGCGGAGGGAGCTGGGCGGGGCCTCGACGGGGACTGCGGACGGCTCCGGGGACTGCGGACCGGCTCCGGGCACTGGCTGCGAGTCCCGCGGTGCCGGTCAGAGGCCCTTGCGCTGCCGCTTGAGGAAGGAGAGCGTGTAGTCGCTGGGCGTAGACACCTTCTGCTTCTTCATCTGCACCTGCGACTGCGCGGTGAGCTGCAGCTTGATGGCGCTCGAGTTGATCTTGGTGGCCACCAGCAGCTCCTTCATGCCCTTCATCTTCTCGCTCTGGAAAGTGAGCACCGGACCCTCTGGCGGCGGCGACGCGGCTGGTGCAGGCGCCAGAGCCGTGCTGCCGCCTTCGGGGCCGCGGGCATTGTTCAGGACCGTCCCTGGGGGCTTCCGGGGGGGTCCCGGCACCATGCCCTGCCCCGCGCCCGGGCCCTTGTCCAGCGCCGGCTTCTTGGGCGGCGGGGGCTCCTCGGGCTTGGACTCCCGCCGCGGGCCTCGCCGCCGGCCTTCCCGGGCTTCCTCGCCCCAGGGCTCCTCGGCCTCTGTGGCCTCTGATTCCCGGCTCACTATCCGCACCTTCTGCCGCACCTGGGCCGGGTAGGGAGAGCGAGCTGAGGGCAAGGTGCCAGCAGGTTGCGGCCTGTCTCATGCACCCAGAGGAGCAGATCCCCTTCAGGGCCGCCCAGGCTCTGGCTCCTCCTCAGACCCCTGCACAGCTGCCCCTCACCTGTCCTTCAAAACGCCCCAGGGACTGCACAAGGAAGGTGGCCCAGCCCACGTGCAGCACGGGCGTGGGGCTGCCTTCTTCCCATTTGCAGATGCCATCGTAGAACCGGAGCAGATGGGCGAAGCACTCTGGGTCCTGGAGGGCAGACCCCTGGCTCTGGGTGCCCTGGGCAAGGGGGAAAGGAGGCACAGATCAGAACCCCTTACACCCTGTATGAGGGCCAGGCCAAGCCGCTCATCTAAGCAGAGTCCTGGCCCCTAAGAGGTGAGCATCGGGGAGAATTCTCAGAGCCGCCTTCCTTTTATAGAACCAGTTCTTAGCCAGGATTCAGAGAAGAGGGAACCGCCCCTTACCTCCATCCCACCCCCCACAACTAAATACGAAATCTTGGCATGAAAGAGATGGGCTTCACCCCATTTACCTGAAGGAATGGGGTAGAAACCCCTAAGATACCCTCAGCTCCCTCAAACCCTGGCTGCTGTGTGCTGGGCCACCTTCCTCACTCAGTCCCCGCGTGGGCAGCAGTCCCATGTCCTGTGACTCGGAGCGCTGGCCAGGTGGGAAGGTGGGCACAGGGGGAGCCCTTCACCTGGGTCTGCTCCCCCGGCCGCTCCTCGCCAGCCTCCAGCAGGCTAGCTGCCTCCTTCAGCAGGTTGGGGATGACATCATTGGCTACTTCAAAGAACTCCTTGTAGATTTCCTCGTCTTCCCGGCAGTAGTTGTAGCTGTGGGAGCAGGAGGGCACCGTGGGGCCTCCACCATGCTGGGAACCCCCGGGACCTGGGGGCGCGGGGGGGGGGGGGGGATGGAGCCCAGGCTTCTTTTCCTTTGATCATCTAGGGACTGGATGAGTGGTTGGGGTCCTCACTCCGAAATCATGGTGTCTGTATCAGCCCAGAGCCAGAGTGAGGAGGGGGGCATGGGGCAGGGGGTGCAGGGTTTGCTGCTGGATGATGGTGGCTGGCAATTAGGAGGAGAGGGGAGGGAGGGAAAGGTGTGGGGCTCTCATTAGGGATCCCTACCTCCTGGGTGACAGTAGCCTTGGCTGCCCAGACTAGAGGAAGGGATGGGGCTTGGGACCCAGGCCTCACTCCTGGATAAGGATGAGTGGAAATTGGGCGAAAGAGGAAGAAAGGATGGACTAAGGCCCTAGTGGGACAGGTGGGGTGAAGGATCCTCACTCCTGGATGACAGTGGCCGTGTCGGCCCAGGCCTGCAGGGCTTCACGAACATTGCGGTTGCGACAGTGGTAGCCAGCCAGGTACATGTAGGGGTAGATGTGCTCATCCCGGTAGTAAGTCTTGGCTGAGGCAATGCCCTAGGGATAGAGCAGAGGGCCCTCAGGGAGGCAACCCCCAGCTGTACCGTTTGGCAGGAATGTCCCGTCAGATCACACCCAGAATGCAAAATAGCCAAGAGCCCAGAGTCCCATCTCCAGTTCCACCTCTACCCCCTGCCATCCGCTCTACCAGTTGCTCCTCCATGTCTGCAAGGCTGCTGGTGAGGCCTGGGCCAGAATGCAGAACAAAGCCTAGGGAAGGGGAGGGGTCCGTCCTCCAAGCTCAGGGCATTCCCTTTCCCAGGCTTTCCCACACACTCCTACACAAACACCAAAGCCTTCCAAGCCCAGCCCAATGTCCCTTCTACCTCCACTCCACCAAGTTAACACCCCCTCCTCAATGCTCCCACATTTGACAACTGTTACACTCCAGAAGGGACAATGAGAGGCAGATAGCACTGAATATGTACATGGTAAATACAAGATGGGTGGTAATGCCCAATACACACCAAGATCTTCTCTCATGTGCCCCCTCCCATTTCCCAGGTAGAAGGGAACCCCAGCCACTATTGGGTCTCCCTTCTGTACCCTCCCGAGATATCCCCACCTTGTGGTAAAGGGTGAGTGGGTCTGGCCGGCCAGGGGTGGGCTCCAGCTCCTCCAGATCTGCCAGGTTCCCCAGCGCCATGGGGTACCTGGGAAAAGTTCATGAGTCCAGCTCCGCCTAGCCACCCAGCCCTGAAGGCCCAGCCTGGCCACTTCCCCCTACTGACCTTTCCAGATGTCCCAGGTCATAGAGCAGCCAGAGCAGTTTCTACAGGCCAAAGAGAGAAATGTGAGCTGGGGGGGAGGGGTTGAGAAGTCCTCAGTCTACCAGGCAAAGTGGCGTCCAACATCAGCAGGGATCTCCCACCAGATAGAAAAGGCCAGAATTTAGAAACCAGCCCCTTACTGGAGTCAAAGTCCTTTCATGTCTTAACACCACTCTCCCCAGAGCCCTGGGAAATACTGGGCCAGGAATTGTTAAGCATGTTGCAAAAGGGGAAGTTGAGCCCCAGCCAGTTTGATTCAGTGGATAGAGCGATGGCCCAGGGACTGAAGGGTCTCGGGTTCAATTCCAGTCAAGGGCACTTACCCCGGATGCAGACTTGCTCCCTGGCCCTGATCAAGGGGAGTGAGGGAGGCAACCAATCCATGTGTTTCTTTCACATCAATGTTTCTCTCTGTCCCTCCCCCACCCTTCCACTCTCTCTAAAAATCAATGTGAGGATTAACCAAAAAAAGGGGGGAGGAAAAGTGCCCCTGCCCAGGGCCCCATGGCCACACCTCACCTGCTGCAGCTGCCCAGGTTCCCACAGGCATATACCTGTTGCAGCTGCAGCAGCTCCAGGGAGTCCGTGTGCAGGTCAATGGAAGGGTTGATGGCGCACACCATAAATGCCACCTCCATCTTGCGGTCACAGCGCATGTATGATCCTTTCAGGTACAGCCAGCTCTTGGGAGAGGACAAGACCAGATGGCTCATAATGCCCCACCTGTGCCTGCTCCAGGGCATAACCGCCAGGAAAGGGGCCCTTCTGTGTCCCCTTCCTGACATGTTTAGGTGGCAATAAGAAGAGGGGCTCAGGAAAGCACAGCCCCTTGGGTGGCTTGGGCTGGGAGTGTGAAGGGAGCAGGGGAAGGAGGCAATACCCGCTCAGCCACACCCGCGTTGACTGTCTGGCCCCTTCGGTCCTCATTGCCCTTGCCATGCCAGGTGACCTCAGCTGTCTGCTCTCCATTGGGCCCAAACACAACCCAGGCGTGGTCCTCAGACAGGGCCAGGTGGACATCCCGGAGACCCAGAGCCTGGCAGGCCCCCACCACAGCAAAGGCCACACCGGAGCTGTCCAGTTTGGTGCCTATGGAAGGGGGAGGTAATGAAAGAGGAATCTCTGAGCTCTGGCTGGAGGAAGAGGGCTAGGTAGTGATGGGCCATGTTCCCTCCCACCCTCACCTCCCAGCCTGTGCCCAAACCTCAGACCCTCCTCCATCACTCCTCCATCCCCCTCCTCTGATTGCTCAAAGCCTCTCTCTCTCTCTCTGCGTTTACATCTCCCAA